TTAAAATGGTATAGAACATATAGAATAGAGTATGGATTCCATGTGGAAAAAGTATGGAATCCATCAGCCATTCCATGGAATCCATCCCCCCTTCCATGGAATCCATCCCCCCCTTCCATGGAATCCATCCCCCCTTCCATGGAATCCATCCCCCCCTTCCATGGAATCCATCCCCCCTTCCATGGAATCCATCCCCCCCCTTCCATGGAATCCATCCCCCCCTTCCATGGAATCCATCTGGAATTTCTGCAGTCCACCCCCCATTCCATGGATTCCACATGGAATAACCCGGGGAGGGTAAAGTATTGGGTTAGTTGGGGGTTTGAGAGTTGCTGGAGCTGGCAGCTCAGATGGTGGCCAGAACATGGTAGGTGGTGATTTTTTGCCTTCGGCACAGTCCACGCATGTATCCTCGCACGATAATGAATTGGAATCAGGATTGCGCAGACTGGTGTCAGGTTTTCCGAAATGTGTCGAGAGAGGACCTAGAAGATCCACAATATTCGCGTGAAACAGTCCCGGATTCCCTGCACTCCCAAACATCGCTTCGCTTCCACTTTTATGGCCACTTTGGATCGGTTTGAGAGCATGTAATCGAGTGATGGACAGCTGGTCACCCGCGAGTACATGCTTGGCAGCTCCGTGGCGAGCCCTATTGAGGGTTTCATGGGTTTAGAACATGCACTTGGTAGGGGATGAGCGTGGTCTGGGACTTACGGTGACGAGCTCTCAACAGAGGTTCCAACCCTCCCATTCAATTCCATGTGAGTAAAGCAGAAGCAAAAGAGGGTAGCGAAGAGGTCAAGACAAAGCGTATGAACACAATGTCGCAGTTGCCTCTGCACACGACGTCATACTCAAGCCACGTTTGCTGGTAAGTACAATTCAAGTACAATTACAACAACGGCACGCGCAACTCGACTGCTAGTACTCGCCACTTTCCTCGGAGTCTCCACCGCTGTCAGAGGTTTCACTATCTTCTTCGTCGTTAACTTCTACCATTACCTCATCCATATCCAATGCGACATCTTCTTCGCTCAACCTTACAAGAGTGGCTTCTGGAATTCCATCAGTGAGTTCATCCAGAATTCTCTCGATCTCATTCGGTTCCTCAGATGCTTCATCAGGCTCTCTTTCAACGCTTTCATCCACCAACATGCCTTCGCCAACATCTCCAACTGGCATCGCTGCTGGATTTTCGAGGGGTGGACTCGGGTTAGTGGGGGGATTGATATTTGCAGGTGCTGGCGGCTCGGATGGTGGTCGGAATCGCAGTTTTTGCTCAGCAACGGACATCATGCTGCGCCTGCGTTGTAGACGCTGGACGGCTTCGTTGTATTCAGTAAGTGGTGTTTTTTCGCCTTCAGTAAGACTGTGTAGCCCCGCTAAAATGACGTCTTTAACGGTGCCACCTGTATCCTTGCCCAAAACCCTTCCTTTTTGAAGGCGGTAAACATTGTTTTCATTGAGGCTGTCCATCAATGTCGCGATGTCGTTTGTCAGGTCAGGAGGTGCGTGTCGAGTTCCTTGATCAGCACCGAGAGTATCGTTAAAATTTCGGGCAGTGTTCCTCAAGACCTCGATTGTGGGTGCAAGTGTATTCAGCCAATCCCATGATGTGTTTGAGCCATGGGCCTTGTATGCCGTCTGGATTCTCCACGTAAGTTCATTCAATAACGCTATTATAAGACTTACCTTGATCCAGAAATTTAGATGCTCCTGTACAAGGTCTATTTCGACAAAGCTATTTGCGTGGCCAGTAGTATTCAACAACCAGTTCTTCAAGACGATATCGCGTATCCCTTTTGGCCAAATTTTCGAGAGATGGTGGATCAAATGGAGCATCTCGTAAGCATACTTGGTTCGTCCATTTCCTCGGTAGCTCAAGGCCCATGTCTTCAGAATGAGCACAACCCTTCCCGAATCACCAGCTTTCACAGCATCGGTAAATTCCTGGGAAATAAGGGCATCACGCATGAAGAGAATCACATTTTCCAACACCATATCTCCTTCCCCTTCTCGGCTTCGCAATTCTTGTACCTGTGATGAGTTTGTGAACTGCTCGAAAATCATTGTTGCGTGCATTGTCAAATCACCCCAACTGCTAAATTTGACCAGATATTCTTCCAGGCTGTTGCATTTGGACACAAGAAGTAAGCAGTGGAGGATGCGTGCATAGAGCGATATGAAAAGGAGATCACGGCATTTGCGGAAGGGTGGCAAAGAAGTCACAGTTATCGGTAGTCGGTCTAGACGTGTATTCTCATACCACAGTGAATTGGGATCGCGTGAACCAGTGTCAGGTCTTCCAAAATGTGTCAAGAGAGTACCTAGAGCATCTGCGATCTTGGCATGAAAGAGTCCTGGAATCCATGCACCCCAGAACATTGCATTCCTTCCACTTTCATGGCCAGCTCGGATCAGCTCAAGAGCATGTAGTCGAGCAATGGACAGCTGATCACCAGCAAGGAATTGAACACGCTCTGCAGCTTCTGGAACTTGATCAAGTTGAAGCTCTTTATTTATTGCCTCGATAACCTCCGCGTTTCCTGTGATCGAAGATTCATCGATATTCCAAGCAGGCAATGGGTGTAATTGTGATTTATGAATCTTGATATTGTCAGCTGTTGCTGGCTGTGCCTTGTCAAGATCAGCCTGGAAGCGTTCAAATCCTTGGCCACCATGCTTCACAAGAATGCGGAGAATAGTGAATATTAAATGAGACTTGAAGGCCTTCCTTTCGTCTTTTGTGTGAACAATATCTGCAATGGATAACGCCGGGGCATTGAGAAATGAGGATTGAAGGTCCTTGACATTTAAGTCCTCCATCTTCGCATCAAATAGTGGCACAAGTGCAGCACAAGTACCATTCTCTTGTGTGTCTAGCTCTCTGGTTAATTGAATGTTCAGGGTAAAAAGGGGATTGCTGCTCACCATGGCGTCCAATGATTTCCTCAGGGTTGCGAAAATTAATGTTGATGTTGTCATAAACAGTTACGAAAAGACCTGTTGCTGCGATCTCTCGGGTTTCCTGTCGCATGGATTCTGACAACTGATAGAGAGTACCAGTCGGAACCTTGGGACCTTCTGAATACATCTCTTTCTCCTTTCCTTTCTCCTTCATCTTCTGTTTTCTCCCTTTGACCATTCGTACACGCCTCACATTCTTCGATATAAGGTTGCCATAGCTCTCGGATAGTCCAAGAGTAGACAACACCGAGAGTGCCTGTCGCTGGGCACCAGAAGCATACATGTACATTCCAATCATCCTTTTTGCAAGGTTGTTGGCATGACTATACTCCCCAAGACAGGCCAGCGCAGCTGAGATGACTACCTCGGAGAGGGTAAACTTGAATAATTAAATATTGTAGAAAATAAAATACCATCTTTGTTCTGTTCTTTCGCTTTTGGGTGTGTGTTGCCGCTTTTCGAGCTGTCGCCAATGACTGGAGAACAGATAAAGTAAAAGGCGCATCCTTCGAGAGCATGGAATGGATAGCTGGGAAGCTGAATGTTGAAGCGAATGTACTGTCAATCGTCTTGCCCATGGTTTGGAGCTTCTTGAGCTTGGTAACTCTACGAGCCTCCTGAGATACCACCGCAGCCACATGCCCTTGAATCCACTGATTGATGTACTTCCGTGCAGTGCGGCTGTTGTTAGAGGAAGTCCACCAGTCAAGGAGCTGTGTCACATTTGCCTGGGTGGAGAAGAATTGTTGCCACTGCACACTACCTTTCTTGCTCTTCGGATGGAAGACATGTTCCATAAAATCCCAAACCTTCAAACCCTGCTGGTTCAACGTCGCCAGAATTCCATCCAAAGTCTCACGCTTGTTTTTCCTCAGCTGTTTTTCGTTATCCTCCTTTTGTCCAGCCAAAGTATGTGCCCGCTTTTTGTATCCCTTCCTCCTTCGATGTGCTGCACGTTCATAAGGATCTGATTCGTTAACAGGGCTGGAGCGTATGGGACCACTCGAAGAAATAGGGTCCCATGGCATCGGTGAGTCTGAGTCCGAGTCATCACTCCAGCCTGGTTCAGACACAGTTAATTCCCCAGACGCAATATCAGAGGCAGGCGCATCTTGCTGAGGTTCTTGGGGGGCAAATAATTCAAGTTTTTGAATCGGAGAGTGGCTGTCACTATCAGACCACTCCCAACTAGGTGAGTGGCGCATGGGGTGAGTTGGAAAGAATGCGAGTGTCGCCTGTTTCAAATGTGGGGGCACGGCGATCATGATTGAAAATTGTCCAAAAAAGGAATTTATTCCTTCCTTAGCGTTTTTCATCCTCCTCAAATCCTCCCTCAACTTCATCGTGCAATGCCTCCCCGCAATTCCAAGAGTAAAAACATACACCCAAACCAACTGGCAACCAATGTCTGGACTGCACTCAAGCCTAATGACCTAAAAGACATTGCTCAGAAGGTGAAAGAAAAATTCAAATGGGATCACGAACCACGCCCTTTTCAAGTTGATGCGATTGTGGCCCAATTGAAGCGCGAGGACGTCTTGATACATGCTGGGACAGGTTCAGGCAAGACGGCTGTTGCAGCAGGCCCTCATGCACATGAGAAAATGCAAGGAAAGGTTATGTTCATGATATCGCCTCTGATCGCATTACAAGATGAACAGGTCTGTGGTTCTACATCTAACAGTGCACCAAACCTCACCTTTGAAACCTGCAGGTCAAGACATTCCATGAGGAATTTAAACTGGAGGCTGTTGCAGTTAATAGTGCGCAAGGAGGTTGTACAAAGGAAATCATGGCGGTGAGCTTTCTAGCTTCATGACAAAACTGTGTCGCCTTACCTTGATGAAGGATATTATAGCGGGGAGGTGGGCAATTGTGATTCTCTCCCCCGAAATGATTCTGTCAAAGAAATTTATCAACGGCGTTATTCGGAAGCCAGAGATGTCTCGCCGTGTCCTGTCAGTGGTGGTGGATGAGGCACACGTCGTTTCCCACTGGGGATCAGGCTTCCGAAAGAAGTATGGAACACTCGGAGTACTTCGCGCGTTGCTTCCGAAAGGAACGCCTGTCGTTGCGATGTCAGCAACACTCGCGGGGCGTGTCCGCAAAGATGTTTTGGCAAAACTGCAGTTCGATCCGAAGAAATTCACTTACTTGAATCTTGGAAACGACCGACCAAATGTTTCCCTCGTCGTCCGTGCCATCCAAAACCCTATGAACACATATAGCGACCTCAAGTTCCTCATCCCCAAGGGAATTCGGAGTGCGAGCGGAGTCCTGAAGGGTTTCATCTATGCAGACAACGTGTCAGGTGGCCTAGACATGGTGGATTACTTGGATGGACTTCTACCTACCGAGTTGCGGGGGAAGGGACTAATCCGGCCATACAATGCGGGTCTCTCAAAGGAATGTCGTGACTTGGTAATGGAGCTTTTCAAGGCAGGGATCGTGCGAATTTTAGTTTGCACTGATGCCGCTGGGATGGTGGGTTTTTCTTGATGACGACGGATAAGGAACTGATGTTAGATGAAGGGTTGCAACATACCTGACATAGATATCGTCGTCCAGTGGAAGTTAACAGCCACAGTCTCGGCCTTTGTTCAACGAGCAGGTCGCGCCGCACGCGCATCAGGCCGAACTGGACTTGCTGTTATGTTAGTCGAGAAATCGATCTACGACGCAGACCTGCACAAAGGCTGTCAAGACGAGCAGAAAACAAAAGCAAAGAAGACCATATGTCAATCGCCAAACTACCCTAAGGCAAAGACCAAGGAATACGCGATCAGACGTGGCGTTCGTCGGGGTGCATACGGAGGCCTATTCGACGAGGTTGCGACAGGTGTTGATGTTCCTGTCGATGTATCCTCGATTGACGAAGGTGCACATGGCTTCGTTCAGTCGACTAGTTGCCGTCGAGGTGTGTTGACTGATATATATGGAAACGAGAAAGCAGGTAAGCCATTGTGCTTATAATGAACAACCAACTGACTTACTGGCGCTATGGCAAAGCCCCGACGGTCCCTTGTTGCGACATTTGCAACCCTGAGCTTCTGGACCGTACGCGCCCAGCTCCACCTCGGCCAAATGCTCAGAAAAAGGCGGCAACATATGAAGGTGTCAATTCCACAACAAAGTCGAGCCTCCAAGAATGGCGGACCAAGATTTGGAATCGTGACTTTGAAGATGCCATCTTCAGCCCTGCAGGAATCCTTAGCGATGGTGCGCTCGAGAAGCTAGCATCCGTGACGAGCCCTATCGAAAATTTAATTGGGTTAGAACGTGCAATTGGTGGATGGGCATGGTTTGGGACTTACGGCGACGAGCTCTTAGCAGAGATCAAAACCCTCCCATTTAAGTCCATACCGAAGCAGAAGCAGAAGAGGGCAGCAAAGCGGTCAATGGTGGATGTGGCAGATGGAGAGAGTCTGGCAAAGCGAACGTGTGTCTCAGCTGCTCCCACACCTGTGACGCGTGTCGCAGTTGCTCCCACACCTGTCCAACCGACGTCACACTCAAGTCTCCCCATTGCCGGTCCATCAACACCCATGCGCACGTATTCTTACTCGCAATACCCTCAAAGCTCCACGCCGGGGCATCCTGGGACACGCTACTATCACCCGAGCTACTATCTGACCCCACCTCGCAATCACAATTCACCTCAACAACCATATTTATACTATCCCTATTACCCATCTCCAAATTATCACCAACTTCCACCACAATACCGGCCTCCGAACCCTAATACTGGGCCTCCCCATACTTAGACCTCATGTCCTTTTCACATTATCAAATGCCTTCGCCATCGTCTTCACCTGGGGTCACTGATGGATTTTCAAGGGGTGGACTCGGATCAGGGGGGTTGGGAATTGCTGGAGTTGTCGTTTTAGAGATGTGCCATCTCTGCTCCGCAGACGGGTGTCATTCTGCGCCTGCCTTGTAGACGTAACTTACTTGCCTTAATCCAGTAATTGAGATGCTCCTGGGCAACGTCTACTTCATCAAAAGTATTTGCGTGACTTGGAATACTCATTGCAGTTGAAGAAAGAGTAGCAAAGTTGTTGGAGTTGTCAGACAAACGTCGTCATAGCCGCAGTCCTCAATCCTCGCAAGGTGTCAAAAAAAATCTACTTTTTCAATTCTACTGTAATCACATTATTTGAATTAAATAATCTATCTAAAGGTGTAGCCAGAAAACTTTTTTTTGTGATGTTTCGGACGGGTGTTTTGAGGTGGGTGAATGTTCGCAGAAATTTCTCTAAGTCAGCGTCACACGCAGGGGTCCCTGCCAAACTGTGTTCGTTTGTCCCAGTCGTTCTGAGGTGTTCTTATTTTTCGCAGTCCGCCTGATGTTTGACCCCACAACAAAGCCACAACAAGTGGCAAACACCTCAGAACGACTGGCTAGCGAGTCTAACAAATATAGGAAACATGCAAAGGTTGTTGATGCCCCCGATATGATGGCCCTGCAGCTTACCAAGGACGACGTTGAGGCAGCTAAGAAGGAGTGGGAAAATATGGTGTTTTCGGATGATGAATAAATAGTTAATCTACAATCTCTGTAGCCTATCATGCCGTACAATATACTGCACTATGCCCTCCTATAGCTTCTATGAGTCCTATCAGTGCAACTGACTACCGACCTATCATGATCTATGGCTGGGTATGTAGTTGTTGTGCTTACCTATCAAACCTATATATCGGGGGGGAACCTATCACCCTACATGTGCTATGTATGCTCCATAGACCTATGTAGGTCTCAACCATTTTCCTGATGCACTCTGTCTTTGTTGACCTTGATGTGGGATAGCCATCCATGAGTTTCTCTTGCCAATTCTTCGAGTTTAGCGATGATTGCATGCATACTCCCACCCAGACCTTCAACTTCTTGACAAGCCTCGCGACGCGCCTGACCCATGATGTTTCCGATTTGGCGGGGCTCAAGAATGGTCCCTGTTTGCGTCTTCATAACAGTTGCAAGTTGGCCATGTGTGAAACGACTTGAAGAACTGGTGGCAAGGTTGGAGATAATCACTTTCTGCTCCTCGGTTGGTTGGCAGCATATCGGAGCACCTTCAGGTATTTGACCAGTACTTTATAGTGCCCCTCCCATTCCTGCAGGAATCCACAGGATTCCACAGGAATGGAACAGGATTCCACAGGATTCCACAGGAATGGAACTGGATTCCGCAGGATTCCACAGGAATAGGACCGGAATCCACAGGAATAGGACTGGAATGAATGTAAATTTACTGATCAGCTTTTCATCATCTGACTGCATATGTATTTATTCAACTCCTACCTTATCATGATAACTTAGTACTCAAAATCCATCATAGAACCCATATCTCAAGCAATAGATTTATATGTCAAATTATAATTTATTTAATAAGGACACAAAATGTATTTTACTACATACAATCTGTATTAAAGCAGGGGGGGTAGGGACAAGGAAGGGGGTAGGGACAATGAAGGGGGTGGGGACAAGAAAAGGGGGGTAGAGACACAGAGGGAGAGTGTGTTGTAGAGGGAGGGGGGGAGGAGTGGTGAGGAGAGAGTGTGGTGGAAGGGGGGACTAATGGGGTGGGGAGATTGTGGTGGGGGACTTGCATTGTCGATGTTGCATGTCGCCGTCGCGTTGTCGACGTTGCATGTCGCTGTCGCGTTGTCGACGTTGTGTGTCGCCGTCGTGTTGTCGCCATCGAGTGTCGTTGTCGTTGTCATCGTGTTGTCGACGTCGCATGTTGTCGTCGCGTTGTCGTTGTCGCGTGCCGTTGTTGTGTTGGCGTCGTCGCATGTTGTACGTGGGCGCTGGGCGTTGGGTGTCGTCGTCGACCTCATGTGTGGGCACTGGGTGTTGTTCCGTGGGCGCTGGGGCATTTTCGTGGGCAGGGTGTGGTTTTCGTGGGCGGGGTGCGGTTTTCGTGGGCGTTAGGGCGTTTTCGTGGGTGCTGGGGAGTTTCCGGGGGTGGTGGCAGCTGCAAACCAGGGAGTGGGGGGCAAGGAGGTTGGCCACGTCGACGGGGCACCTGAATAGTGAGCAGTGGGGGTGGAGAGGCCTGCTACTCACTTGGGTGGCTCAAAACAACCCAACGGTGACGACGTACCAGTCGTCACCGTCAGACGACGCGTATTCGCGTCGTCTGACCTTCGTTGCCGCATTCGCCTGGTCGTCGTGGTGGGCGCTGGTCGCCGTTGGTTGATGGCGGTGCTCTGGTGGTGCCACGTCGTTGTCATCTGGTTGGTGGTGGGCGCTCGTGGATGGTGGTGGTGCCACGTCGGTGGTCGTTACCGTTCGTTGGTGGTGTGTCGTGGCCGTTGTTGGGTCGTGTGGTGTCATCATCGTTGTCGCCGTTGTCAACGTGGTTGGTGGGAGGGAATGGAGGTAGGGAAGAGGATGGTTGGTGGGTGGAAAGGAAAGAGTGTTGCATTTGTTTGGTAGCATTGCCTTTGTTTGGTAACAAAAGTAAAATAAACAAACAATTGACCGGATTCCGTTGCATTCCGTTCCTGCCATTCCTGCGGAACATTCCGGTGTCAATTCCGGAATGCCCAAATTCCGCTGGAATGATGAAAATAGCAGGCCTCCCTGCTAAATTTCATTCCTCCGGAATCCACCGGAATCCGCAGGAATGACCAGATTCCTGCAGGAATTAGGGGGGCACTGATAAGACCTCTAAAAAAGTCGGACATAGACTACAAAAATTTGTAGTGTGTGCTTTTTCATTAGAAAAGCTTGTAGTGTCCGCTTTTTTAGACTACAAAAGTTTGTAGTGTGCGCTTTTTCATTAGAAAATTTTGTAGTGTCCGCTTTTTGAGACTACAAAAGTCTGTAGTTAACATGTAGTTTTTAGTCTTGACTCTGTATAGGTTATGGGGATGAGGTTGAAGGATTGACATGACCTTACATATTGCCAGCAGCATTACTTTTTGACATTATGCACAAGTTGTCTTTCACATTAGGAAAGGCTATTCTATGCCTTCAAAGGTCTCAAAACATAGTTACAAGTTCATGTGGATATGGTTTGAAGGATTAAATGACTTGAAATATTGCCATTGCCACATCATTAGCTTTTGACATCATACCCAAGTTGGCTTTCATATCAGGACAGGCTATTCTCTGCTTTCACAGTTACTGGTCTGTCTGCTTGCATATTTATAGCTACTGGCCTGTGGGCTGATTGGTCTTTGGAGGTGTCCTACTTGAGCATGAGAGAAAAAACTGATGATGTGGCAATAGCTATATGTCAAGTCATGTCAATCCCTCAGCCATATCCACATGAACTTGTAACTATGTCTTGAGACAGGACAGTAGCTATGGCATAGAATAGCCTTTCTTCATGTGAAAGACAACTTGTGCATAATGTCAAAAAGTAATGCTGCTGGCAATATGTAAGGTCATGTCAATCCTTCAACCTCATCCCCATAACCTATACAGAGTCAAGACTAACAACTACATGTTGACTACAGACTTTTGTAGTCTCAAAAAGCGGACACTACAAAATTTTCTAATGAAAAAGCGCACACTACAAACTTTTGTAGTCTAAAAAAGCGGACACTACAAGCTTTTCTAATGAAAAAGCACACACTACAAATTTTTGTAGTCTATGTCCGACTTTTTTAGTCTTTTGTAGTCTATCAGTAAACTTTGTAGTCTAAATCTGACATTTGTAGTCTTTCATAGTCTATTAGTAAAATTTGTAGTGTATGTCTGACTTTTGTAGTCCATTAGTAAACTTTGTAGTCTAAGTCAGTTTTTTGTAGTCTATCAGTAAAATTTGTAGTCTTAGGGGCATGCACCTTCCTTTTGTGGTCAAATTTCCCACAGTACGATGATTGTAGCCCTTTCTTTTAGCTTTCTAAATGTGTTGAAATCATGTTATTTGGTTTTGTTCTCATGGAGAAAAATGCAAAAAACAAAAAAAAAATGCAGTGCTTTTGAAAATCCATTACATCATATCTCCACAATGGGAGCACTTTAGAACATAATTCAAACAGATTCTAGAAGCTACAGTGCAGGGCTACAATTTTTGTTTTTTGACCATTTTTGGTAATTGGTCATGTGACCAACATCCTGATAGGTAAAATCATTCTTATCTTGGTTTTCGTTACTCTTTGGTCTGATATATCCTTTTTGGGGAGTGGACCCTGAAGGTAGTGGCTAATATCCTATACATCATTCATATTTTTTGCCAAATTTTCTGCTGTTTTCTGGCTATATTACCATATTTGAAAATGCACCCTGGACCCTGAAAACAACCCCCAACATTGACTGGTAGCTACCATTTACATCATGTAAACGTGGCAGTTACTGCAGGCCATCTTGATCAGCTACCATGTTGGAATGAAACAGTTTTTCATTCCTGTTTCATTCCTGTCGATAGCGACGAACTAGAACTGCTTGCGACGAACTGGAATTTCTTTCATTTTGGCTTCATTCATGCCATTGAGCTGCCTCATTTTTGTTTCATTCATTTTGGTGCATGTGTTTCATTCCATTGTGAGATGGGAGGTGATTATGTAATCAATGGGAACAAAATGTAAGTGCCCTATTTGGTAACACCACTGCTAGCTCTTTGCATATATCTGCCTCAAATCCAAAAATACCCCCATATGGCCCCTCAATCCACTGCAGAAGGGCACAACCCATATCAGGCATCATTTGTATATTATTTCCTTATTTGTACATGTACTATATCATTGAAATAACTGTCCAGAAAGAATGAAATAATAATTGAAAATGAATGAAATATTCAATCCTCTGGCA